CTTATGATATCATCAAAACACACATTTCTGTTTTTTGAGTTTGGGATCATGCAATTATAAAGTTTTCAAAGTATACTTAGGCAAGGGCATTTATAAGTCTTGGGTTTTGTGAATTTTGAAATATCTGATGTTCTTTTAAATAATATATAAGAATAGTTTTTAGTTAAAGATAATGGCCTAATTTATGACTAGTCGCGGCTTGAACCCGTTCAACCTTAAGTTTGCATCTAATTTCCAAAATTTGGAAGCGGATGTTTTTTTATTGTGCGTCTTTGTACTCGTTTGGCCTGCTCCCAAGTATGCCAGCATATACATATACACACGCACACACATGCACATGATCGCCCGAAATATGATAGAATTCGTACTGCTCTAACTGCAAACAATAATTTGAAATGCACGCTTTGTCCTTGTTCGAAACTGTTAGCCTGCATCTGACCTCGATGTGCCTGCAATATCGACCCACGGTGGTTGCCTGCTTCTGCATTTATTTGGCCTGCAAATGGTCGCGCTGGGAGATACCACAATCGACTGAGGGCAAGCACTGGTTCTACTATGTGGACAAGAGCGTGTCGCTGGAGCTGCTCAAGCAGCTGACGGACGAGTTTATTGCCATCTACGAGAAGAGTCCGGCCCGGCTCAAGTCCAAGCTCAACTCGATCAAGGCAATCGCCCAGGGCGCCAGCAATCGCACGGCCACCAACAGCAAGGACAACAAGCCGAAAGAAGACTGGAAGATGAGCGAAATGATGAAGGGCTATCACTCCAACATCACGGCGCCGCCGGAGCTCATGAACGGCAGCGACAGCCGCGACTCATCGCAGTCGGCGCTGCTGCCGCCGCCGAGCATGGTGCCGTCGCAGCAGAGGCGCAGCGATGGCAGTCACCAGCGTTCGTCATCGGTGGGCGGTGCTCCAGGTAACTCGTCCTCTTCTACCTCCTCCTCATCGAATCACAAGTTGCCAAACTATCCAGGCGCCCTGCCGCCCGAGGCACACGGAGGTATGTTACGCATAATACGAGGCAACAGCTTGTGCTTATGATTATAATGATGTATCCCCTGCGCCCCCTTTAGATCACAAATCGAAGCAACCCGGCTACAGTAGTCGTGCGCCCTCCGGCCACCAGTCGAGCTCCTCATCATCGGCGCAGCGTGGCAGCAGCGGCAGCTCTTCGGCGGGAAGCGGTCAACGTAGCTCGTCGAGCCAACCGTCTGGACGACTACCCATGCCCATGGACTATCACAAATCCTCTCGCGGCATGCCGCCTGTAGGTATGCAACCCCACGGCGGCCATAAGATGTCAACTAGTTCCAAGCCGCAGCAGCAGCCGCCGCCGCTCTTGGACAGTCGCAGCAGCAGCTCATCCGCCTCAAGTGCAGCGTCTGCAGCGGGCGTTTCCTCCAAAGATGTCAGCAAGTCGGGCAGCAGTAAAATGTATCCTAATGCGCCGCCGTCCTACAGCAACAGCGGACCCAGCAATCCGCTCATGTCCCGCGGCGGTTACCCGAGCAGCAGCGCAGGTGTTGGCAACAACGGTGCGCCGCCGCCGCCCGCTGGCTATGGCAGCTCGCATGGCTCGCATCGCAATAAATCCGTCTCGTCATCAAGCTCATCGTCATCCGTCCACAGCATGCCGCCGTACGAGCAGCAGCTGCCCTATGGCCAGAGCCAGGCAGTGCCCAACTACAATCATATGCAGCAGCAGCAGCTGCCGCCGCTGGATGCGGGCGCCACCTCAATGTCGCAGCAGTCGCAGCAGCAGCAGCAGCTGGGCAAAAACAATTCGCTGTTCAGTCCCGAGTGGAGCGACATCAAGAAGGAGACGCAATTCAATGGACTGCTGCCGCCGCCGCCGCCAGGACCTGCCCACGACAGTCTAGGCTACAAGCTGAACAGTCATGCGCGAGATCGCGACAGCCCCAAGAAGGATCGCCTGACGCCCACCAAAAAGGACAAGCATCGCAGTGCGCTGCCGCACGGCAGCAGCTCGAGCAGCACTGCCAACAAGCCCATGCTGCCGCCGCACAAGAAGCCCCATGGAGAGCTGCTGCCCAACGAGCTGGCGGGCCCCAGTCGCGATGTGGGCAATCTGAAGCGCGCCAACGAGATGTCCGGCAGCCAATACGGACTCAACAAGCTGGACGAGCACGACGGCAGCTTGCCGCGCGATAAGCTGCGCAAGCTGGACAACAGCGTGGGTCTGCCGGGCTATCCGAGCTATGAGGAGAAGCATGCGCCGCTGTCCATGTCGAACGGTGGCATTGAGACAACGCCCGATCTGGTGCGCACGCTGCTCAAGGAGAGCCTGTGCACAACAAATGGCTCGCTGCTGAAACCGGATGCGCTGACCATGCCCGGACTGAAGCCGCCGGCCGAGCTATTGGAGCCGATGCCGCCGACCACTCAGCTGCACATGAAGAAAGATTCGCTGGCTGCACCCACAAATCTGATGAGCAACAGTTTGTCTGCGGGACCTGCCATGGAGCTCGATGCTCTGACCAAGCTGGGCGATGCCAAGGAACTGGAGGCTGCCGGCAAGTCCGAGAAGAAAAAGAAGAAGGACAAGCACAAACACAAGGAGAAGGACAAGTCCAAGGACAAGCCGGACAAGGAGGAGCGCAAGAAACACAAAAAGGACAAGCAAAAGGAGCGCAGCAGCAAGGACACATCCATGGACTCGCTCAAATTGGTCATAAAGACGAACACGGCCACCGCCAATCCCAACGGCAGTCTCCAAGTGGGCGCCGCCGCGCCGCTCAAACTGAAGATCAGCAAGAACAAGGTGGAGCCGAACAACTATTCCTCCGCCGCCGGGCTAATGTCGATGCCAACAGCGCCTGGCTTTGGCATGGCACCGCCTGCGCCGGGCACAGCTCCCCCAGCAGGCGTGCCTACCGGTGGCCAACAGCAGCAGCAGCCCGTATTGCCCGGCTATGGGAGCTACAACAGCTCGTCGAACAGCACGAGCAGCACGAGCAGCAGCAGCAGTAGCAAAAAGAAGCATAGCGATCGGGATCGCGATAAGGAGAGCAAGAAGAGCAAAACTCAAGACTATGCCAAGTACAATGGAGTCTCTGGCGGCGGCGGCGCTTATGCGCCTCTAGGCGGTGCTGGCGCCGCGTCCAACACGCAGGCGTCAGTCGCCAGCCTGCTGGGTCTGCCGCCGAGCATGACGACCGCGTCGTCAACGGCCAACTCCTCCACCTCCTCCGCGTCGATGGTGATGGCGCCCACAAGTGTTGCCGCCGGCCTTGTACCCGCTGCGCTGCCCATCTACAACAAGAAGTAGTCGTAGCCAACGTAGTCGTAGTCAACGTAGTCGCCAGTCGCCAGCCCCCGCAGCTCCCGAGTCGTCACCCGTTGTTCTCGCTGCAGTTAACCACGTCGTGTTTCTTTTTTTTTTTTCAACAAACCACAAGTTTACAACCTTTGATATAGTTTGTATGTAATTGTAACCTATTAAGCATACGGTAGTCGTAATTGTTGGTGAGATGCATTAGTTGGCTAAGTTATTAATCGGAAACATTTTAGTTAAGCGCAAACCCCGCTACCAACTACCGACATCGCCGATCCCGATCGGGTAGTTGTGTCCCAGCATCTAATGATAATGATAATCAATCAACTCGAAGACAAGCAAAACTTCAAAAACTTTTGTACAGCATTAATTAATTTGTAATTATAACACACACACACACACAACCACAAACACACACGTACGTACACACACACACACATATAGACCTATACACATACAGAGCATAATTGTAAAAGGATTATATTGTAAAAGCAACTCCTTTCGATTGCAGCAACAGCTCATCTATAGCTGAGCAGCACGGCCGTTTAGTATATAAGTTAGTAAATCAAATACCCATACAAGTGCACACACACACACACACACACCCGTACACACACACACATACACACATTCAACTGTTGTATATAGCCACCAGAAAAACAATTTCCGCTTAGCTAAAAATACGGCCCCTAACTAATGCAAAACAAAACAAAAACAAAAAAAAACGAATCGTAATTTTTGAAAAAAAACATTCAATTTAAATCGAGGAGCAAATCGAGTGCCGTGCGCTTTAATTATAAATTAAAGATGCGCGCGTGCGCTGTTAAATAAATAAAGGAAGAAAAACCATTTAGAAACCACACGTAAACCTATATTAACTACACACACACATACAAACACACACACACGTAAATTATTTGAATTAAATAATAGTATGAGAATGAACGCCGTTAAATTGTGTGAAATTAATTTTTAGTTAGCAAAGTTTTTCGTTTTTCACTTATTTTTATTATTATGATTATTTTCATTTTATTTACAATGAATTCGCATAACTTTTGGTTTTAATGGTTGCAACAAAAACAACAACAACAACAGCAGCTTGATAAATGTTTCAATGAAGCAAATATGTTTAAAAAGAAAGAAAGAAAAAGTTATCTTAACGTAGCTTTCAGTTGTTTTTAATTCTTAATTAAATAGCATTAAAGTGATTATGAATAATAAATTGTTGTGCAACACGAAAAAAAAGAATAGAAAACACAAAATGTGTGCGAAATTAAACGCCGTAACGTTTCGAGCATAAGTAAAACACAAAGAAAGAAAAACTAAAAGCTATGAAATATATGAAATTAAGCGAAAAGAAAACAAACAAAACTAAAAAAAATTACCTATATCAAGGGGCATAACTTATGTAATTTTCGACTAGAGCAAAACACAAAGAAAAACAAATTTAATCAAACGTTGCGCGTTTTACAACACTATTCGATTTCTAATAATTGCATTAAGCTATCCACAAACAAAAAAAAAACAAAAAACAAAAACAATTTTTAAAAATGAAACAAAAAACGTAAAGCTATGTACTAACCACACACATACGATATACATACATATTCATATTTGGAAAATCGAAAATGTTATTTAAGTTGCGTGAAATTTCCAAAAGAAAAACAAAAAAAGAAAACTTTGCTATTGCTAATCCACAAAACAAAAAACAAGCAACAAAAGTAATTAGGTATAAAAAAAAAACAAAAAAAAACACGTAATTGTACGTGTAATTTCTATCTCTTAATTTGTTCCCCCCTCTATTTTTTAAGTTTTGTACATAGATGAAAAACAAAAATGGCATTCGGAAAGTGCGCAAATCGCGGGTTTCACTGGGAACGTTCTGCTGTTTCGAATTTGAATACTCGGAAGCGCTGTTCGAAGGTCCGAATAAAAATTTCAAAACCCAAAACAAAAGAACAATAAAAAAAAACTTGAAAAACATAAAATACAAAAAAAAAAAGAAACTGTTGTTTAAGTTTATTGTACAACTTGTCAAGTATTTATTTTAATTGAAATTACATTTTTAGTTGAACCAGCGTTTTAGTGGTTAATGGTTCAAACCAATGCAATCGCTCTTAAGCCTCAGTTCGTTAATCTGTTTGTCGAGCTTTGACTTGTTAAATCTTCAATTGAAATGTTAAATTTAATATAAATTTAAATAATTCTATTTTTATTATTAACTTAAATTACTGAAAATAAGCTTTTAAGGCTTGCAATAATATTTTCAAATGCTACAAAAATATTCTTTTGAGCCAAAAGGTTTCGGTTCTTGTGCTTTAAAACCATTTAAAAATTCGATTCTGTCGTGCTATTGCCCCCAATGTGCTGCCAAATCCAGTCCAAGTAGCTGGTCACCCGCGTGAAAATGGACGGGAAACCAATCTCACAGCCCATTGAGAGCCCGAACGAGGTGATGCCAATCAAATAGTTGTTGCTGTCCTCCTTGTAGATGAGCGGTCCGCCGGAGTCGCCGTGGCAGGTGGATCTGCCGCTGCTGGTGCTCATGCAGATCATCTTTTCGGACAGGGAGCCGCCCCAGAATAACTTGCAGCGGCTGTGCGGCATTACGGGCATTGCCACATAGCGCAAGGTTGCCGACATGGAGTTGGAGCTGTCGCTGTCCCGGCCCCAGCCGGATGCATAGGCCGTGGCCTGCTCATAGCTGGAGTAGCTGCCATTCAGACCTCTGGGCAGGTCGGCAGCTCTCACCCGATCGCTGAACTCCACGAATGTGGGCAGCTTGACGAGAGCTATGTCATTGGCCACGGTGCTGGCCGTCCAATTGGCATGCACTACGATATGAGATCTCGTCACGTAATAACGCTTCTGGCCCGCCTCGTGCCTGTCTGTAATGTTAATCGCGCCCAGGTAGATCGTGGCACGCTCCGCTCCATCCATGCAGTGGGCAGCCGTGAGAATCCATCGATGCGATACCAGAGTGCCGCCGCACCAGGTGCTCGCGTTGCCAAATGATACGTTCAAGCCCACCTGGTAGGGAAACTGACCCGCCTCAGCTAGATTCCCGTTTGTAATGCGATTACCGTGATCCAAGATGCGCGCCTGCGCCAAATGGAGGGTCAATAATATAGTTACTGCCAATAACAACTTCATCTTTCAATCAGAATCAACAAATTAGTAACTGCATAAGGCATTCCCTTTGGTTTTATACCTAAAGAAACAACGTCGCAATTCAATCGAGTGCCTTATCAACATCAACTATTAAGAGCTCAACCCTCAAAAACTAAGAACCTGCTCATGATAAATGAACTGTGCTGTAATCCATTCAGATTACAACATGTGACTGTAAATCTTTTTCCTTATGCCAAACACAGAATAGGTGTAAATTGGAGAAAGTCTTTTAAAGAGCGCCCTTCTATGCGATTCTCATGAATTCAAGGCGGGCTATTTTCATGCAGTGATAGTGAGTATTATACTGACAAGTTGTAGTCTTTATCTAATTATCGTTATCTCTGAGAAACCCCCCCCCCCCCCCCCCCCCCTCAACTCTCTCTCTCTCTATAACATCCTCTTATATATTTCGTTCTCCTGCCATTTCTTTATATAACTCTCTACTTCTCTTCTTTTTCAGGAATATGTGCTTATATAAAGAAGACAGATCTATTTTACCAATTAATTAATAACCAACTAATCTTCATTGTGAATGTGAGCTATGGGGTAAGTGCATACCTTTTTTCTACAATGAGAATATTTTTTTTAAAACAATTCCGCCCTGGACATGGGCTACTTGTTCATAACTCAGCTTGCCTCAGTTTTAGTAGGTTTTCTAAAAATTCAAGATGATATTAACGAACTATGGGTTCTATATCTTGGGAGGCAATTTTATTTAAAAGCATAAATCATAACTAAAAATATCGTTTAGTTCCTCCTTGAAATTTCCCTCTAAAAAACTTTATAAAGCCAACTCTGCTAACGATTAAAAATATCCCTAAAATTCCCCTTAAATTTCCCAGCCTAAGAGAATATCAATCAAATTTAAACTATATATCTATAAACTGTACTCTGCCATCGATTATAAAATATTCCTTTAGTTCGCCTTTTAATTTCCCACTATCTTAAGAAAGACCTAAATTTCAACGTCTTGAAAACAACTCGGCTGTCGATTATAAAATATCCCTAAAAGTTCCCTTTCAATTCCCCCTATTTCAAAAAAGAGCCATTCTCTTGGGGCTTTTTCACATTGGGACATTTTTATCGTACACGTATTTTATTGTTTAATATCAGTGGATGGAATTGTGTTGTTTATTTGTTGACCACGCCGCTGTGATCCTCGATCCAGTCCAGGTAGGCGGTGATTCTGGTGAAGACAGCTGGGTAGTTCCTTTCACAGCCCAGGGACAGGCCGAAGGAGGTGGCGCCAATCAAATAGTTGATGTCGCCATCCTTGTGGACCAGGGGGCCGCCGGAGTCGCCGCTGCAGGTGGACTTGCCGCCCTTGGTGCTCATGCAGATGACCTTGTCGGTGATGAGGCCGGCCCAGTACTTGTTGCAGGTGCTCGACTTCATGATGGGCATCTCCACGTAGCGCAGCACGGGCGAGACGGCGTCAGCCTTGTCGCTATCGAGACCCCAGCCGGAGGCGTAGGCCTGCTGATCCTCGTAGGTGGAGTAACGGCCATCCTTCTTGGGCAGCGTGGCGGCACGCACGCGCTCATTGAAGTCCAGCTCGGCGGGCAGCTTGATCAGCGAGATGTCGTTGACAATCTTGGTGGCATCCCAATCCTCGTGCACAATAATGCCGTGCTTCTCCACATGGATGCGCTGCTGGCCGGGCTCCTCCTCCTTGATCTTCGTAGCACCAACGTACACGGTCACCGAGTCGGCAGAGTCCGTGCAATGGGCAGCAGTCACGATCCAGCGATTGGAGATCAAGGTGCCGCCGCACCAGGCGCCCGAGTTGCCGATGGCAATGCTCAATCCCACCTGGTAGGGGAACTGGCCCTCGCGTGCCACCTCGCCGTGGGTGATGCGGCCATCCATGGGCGCTGCCACCGCGGTGGCCAGCAGAGCAGCGAATGCAACAAACAACTTCATGATCCGTATCAGTGAAACTTTCTGGCTCGTTCCACGGCGAATCTATCATTTTTATACTCCGCCCGACGTCAACGCAGCTGGAGCAATATCTTATCGAAGGTATCTCTCCAGACGGACCCTCGAGAAGTGGCCAGATAAGGGGCGCGTGCGCATTTTACGTGTCCTGGAATATGAAGATCTCTTATTAAACTGATTAGATTCGATATTTTCGCTAGAAAATCAATCAAATTAATTGAACAAACAATTGGCAGCCGAGTATATTTTTTGCCGAGTTTTCAGTAAGCTTATCTCGAGCAACGGAATGAATGGACAACTCTTAAGACCAGCCACATTGGGACTGAGTTATACCATACTTTTTCTACGTTTCAAGTGCTCAGGCAGCCATTCACAAAGCTCTTCAGACAGCGACTGCTTCACTTCCTCCTCTCACGAGGTGCGACAGTTGGCTCTGCTTAACTTGTCTGCATAACATAAGGGATAACGATATTGCTTATCGAATGCGTTTGCAACTGGTTTGTGCATTGGCTAGGGATTTTCAGAAGTAAAGCCTGGACATTTCAATTCCAGACATTGCCGAAACTGAGCTGATTTTTGTGCTACACGAAAAAGTTGCATACTCTAGACTGATTTTACATCATTTGTAAGAAAATTCCCTTTATTTTAATCGGTTTTCTGTATGTATATGTTATATGTAAGTGTGGCCAAGTTCTGTTCCCTCTACGCTGTAAATTTCAAAGAAAAATGTCTTTGCCTAAATTGTGCTCTGCTATGCGATTCTCATGAATTCAAGTAAGGCTTGCAGGATTTCATGATTTCATGCTTATAAGTGTGGCAAATCTCTCAAATGAATTTGAACAAAGATCTTTGAGGCCGATCGGAGGGTAAACAAAAACGAAAGTTGATCGTTTTTTCTGTACTTCCTAGATCAGCAAGTTAGGACAAACATTTTATATTAAGAATATCTGAGAAGGCAATTCAGACCTGGCTACGGAGATAATAGAGATATTATCCAATATTAATGTATTTTGCCTTAATTTAATTTTATTGATAAGACATATTTGAATAATACCTTTCAAGTAGAAGTTATTTTCCATGGAAAATTTAAGATACTCTAGCACGCGACATGGTTGAAACCAAAACAGTTTTTAATATTTGAATGCGTAATAAGAATGGTGCTCGAAAAGATAGCGCAGTGCGACTGATGACGTTGGAGAATGCCAATAAATGTTGAGAAAGTGATCGTATATATTTATATATACTATATATTTAATAATATTACAATACGCGAAACTTATCAAAGCACCAGCAAATAGAGAAATAGAGAACTATTTTTTAGCAAACAACTCTATCTCTCCCTCTCTCTCTCTCTCTAGAGACACTGTGAAGTTTAGGGACTTTTGCCATATCTTAACTATTTAGCAGACCACCAAATTGAACAAAACCAAAGATTAGTTTTTAATTTAAGCGATAAGAGTGGGAGAATTACAAGAGTAGTCCGTAGCCCGTGCCACTTGACGAGGTGTACTATCAATAAAAAAAAAACGCAGCGTCATCTGCCAAGCTCTTGCTTGGGCCGCTTGCTATAAAAGTTGAGGGTTGGCTTGATCCAGCTCATAGTCTTCATCGAAATCAACATGAAGGTGCTTATTGTATTCGCATTGGCCTTGGCCTACGCCTCGGGATCGGCCCTGCGCAGCCATTGGGAAATTCAGCCACGTAATGTGTACGCGCCCGTCCTGGAAGGACCTGGTGGACGCATCACCAACGGTCATGATGCCCGTGCTGACCAGTTCCCCTATCAGGCTGGTCTTTCCCTGAAGATTGGCTCCTCCTCCGCCTGGTGCGGTGGCTCCCTGATTGGCCACGAATGGATCCTGACCGCCGCTCACTGCACCGATGGGTAAATTTGGGCTGTGCTTCGAGAGAATTTCCACTTATCCCTTTTCCGCAATTTAGTGTCGACTCCGTCGATGTCCATTTGGGCAGCACTGACCGCAATACCCCCAAGGTTAAGCACAGCGTCAGCAAGGATCACATCATCATCCACGAGGGCTGGAACTCCAGGACTCTGTTGAACGACATCTCCCTGATCCGTATTCCTCATGTGGATTACAGCGACGCCATTCGTGCCGTCGACTTGCCCCGCGAGGAGTCCCACTACTCCAGCTACGTTGATGATGAGGTCATCGCCTCCGGCTGGGGCCGCACCTCCGACTCGTCCAGCGGCGTTGCTGCCCATTTGCAGTACGCTCACATGAAGATCATCTCGAACACATCTTGCATGAAGACCTATGGCACCACCATCCGCTCCTCCAACATCTGTGTGTCGACCCCAGCTGCCGTTTCCACCTGCAACGGCGACTCTGGCGGCCCCCTGGTGCTCGCTTCCAACAAGGTTCAAATCGGTCTGACCTCCTTCGGCTCCTCTGCCGGCTGCGAGAAGGAGCTGCCAGCTGCCTTCACCCGTGTGACCAGCTACCTCGATTGGATCAAGCACCACACTGACATCTAAAAATGATTGCGAAGCGCTCGAAATTTGATTAAATGTTCTTTAAAGATTTGTAGAATTCCTTAACTTTTATTGCATAGTGCATTTCTGGGAGGACGGGCTTCTTTTGGGTCATGGGAAGATGATTCCCCAATTTGTTGCCCATAAATAAGAAACACAAATTGAATTTAATATTTTTTTATTTGAATTTGTTTTTTATTGTTTTTTTTTTCTTCTTTGTTTGTCTCAGTTTGAAACATATATATTTTTCTGCGGTTTTTATCATAATTTGACTTTAAATTTTATTTAGGATTTATTCGGCTTTTACATATATCAATTATTTCGTTTCAATAATAAACATTTGGAATGCATTATATAATTTAAATTTAACAATATACATAAATTTGATTTGCGATTTAGTGGCATTATTTTGCAGTTATTTTTTTTAACTTTATCATTTAAAATTGGAGAGACTTATGCACAGTCAACATCATTTTTAAATACACATACATTTTTTAAATAGTTATACAGAATTAAAAAAGTTACATTTAAATGGTCTTTATCAGATGTGAGTTAGGCAAAACTTTTCTGTCACACATTTGTTATAGACGAATATTGCATAAAAATAACAATTATAAAAAAACTTTATATAAGATATATATTTTCCATTTTGTTGTATACTTAGTTGATTCTCTCGACCTGTGTCTGTCTGTCTGTCTGTGTCCAGGCAATGCATATTTAATTTGTTGTAGTTTCATATAGGTTCTCTCTACTTTATACAATTTTTTTTTCGACAAAATGCGAAACACAATACACTCATTTTAGACCCTTCAATTTGTTATTACGGGCTTGTATAGTCTGCTCCAATTATGTGGACCTTGGGTCTGCCACTGGAGCGAATGTGTGTGTGTGTGTATGTGCTGTGTGTGCTTTCGCCTAGCTAAAAATACATACGAAACAGCACTAAACTAGCAAAAATGATTATAATACAAAAGCAAACGAACAAATAAGTACACGAGTGAGTGGCGGTGGTGTTCCTAGTAATTGCAATGCGGTTGCCCTGTTGCGGTTGCTGCAGTTGTTGCTGTTGCGGTTGCTGTTGCGGCTGCTGTTGTCCTTGCTGTGATGTAGTTTGTCGCCGATGTTGCTCCTCCTCGTATAACTGCTGGACTGTTTGCCACAGCTCGGCACTATCAACCACATTGCCAACGCCGTCGCACACAGGACCGGTGTTATTAATCAACACCGGCAAATCCTTGGCTGCCCTCAATGGCCTTGATAAGCTTATCCTTCAGCTGCAGATAACCCTCATAGGGTGGCAGGTCCAATCGATTAAAGCTAAAAGCACATAAGACATGCTTTTAAATAAAATGCAAGCATTCAATCGAAATTAGAATCTTACCAGGTATGTGCACGGGGAAAATTGTTGGGTGTGCCCCACTTTTCAATGGTAAACATTTGCGGACCATTCGATCCGTATAGCTCCTTGAAACCATTCATGGGCACACGTGATGTTCCCGTCACGAACTGCAGCAGACGGGAGCGCATCTCGTTGGAAAAGGACAAAACGGCGCGCCAGAACCATTGGATAATAATGTGATTCATGTGGTAGTCGCCCTTATATAGCGTATTTTCGCGCCAATCCTTTACATCAATATTCTGTATGCCGCACATCAGCAGCTCAAGTTCGTGTTCGTCAAAGATTTTGATTAGATTCAGCGGTATGATGGAGCCAAAGCCATCCAAGAACGCAGTCATTTGATCCTTGACGCGCGCCACAAAGCGCCACTCGATGACAAGTCTAAAAGACACAGATGTTTTTATTGATATACACATGGAAAGGGCTTTTATAATGCCACTCACTTAATGTATTCATCTTTGTTTTCGTTGGTCACGTCAATATTGGCACCGCCCGGCTTGAGTTCATGCTGACTCTTTTGACCAAACACATCCTCATCCAGACAGAATGTCAGCTCCAGAATGCGCGGGTCGTTCTCCTTGATCCACATCAAGGAATTATAGTACTCAGTATCCACAGATTCCATGTCCTTCAAATCGATTGGCTTCTGCAGCATCATCTTGTAGAAGGGACGTATGAAGAAGGCATCCAACAATTTGCCATGATAGACAGCCATGCCAGCTATGCGACCAATAAACCTAGAAGCAAATCGAGTACACAATTTATTATAAAGAAATGTATCAATTTAAACCGCAACTCACTTGAAATAACTTAAATGCTCCTCGTTGCACAGACCGCTGCCGTTATTGATTTGCAATGTGTAGTTATCCATGGCGGAGTACTCGAACAGTCCGTAATATGGATTAAACATTTCTTTGGATAGTAAATAGAACCATTCTCTGGCAAGGCCACCATAATCTGTATACAGAAAGCAGGCTCTTAATTATTTATATTTATCATATTTGTTAAGGTAACTCACCTAGGCCCGTCTCTCCTTCAAATTCTACCCATAATTTAGTCTTTAGTAAATCGGTTTTCGTCACCGAACTAATAATTCTATACGAGTCCTCCAATATCGACGTACGGCGAATGCGTATTTCAAATTTATTTGGTACATTTGTCTGCAACAAGAACAGAAATTAGTTGGGTTTTAATGTGGGTCTGGATAATGCTTACAGGCTTTCTAATATGACTCTTGAAATACTCGTATTTCTGTTTGTAATCTCGCGAATAGGGCACCGCTTGGCCGGCGATATTTGGATTTGACAAGCGCGGATCCTCCCACTGCGTAGTGCGCGTATCTAGATTAAGATGACGGTTACAAATAAAGTAAGTTATATTAAGTGTTTGCCAGTTGGCGCTTACTGTGATCTATGTAGAAGACGCGACCATCCGTATGCACGCGCTCCTCCCAGCCCTCGGGCAAGGGGCCCAGATCGTCCTCGACGCGTCGTGTTTGATTTGGCATCGGACTGGCGCGTCCATTGCGCGGATCAATCCAGGTGGTGCGGCGTGCTTCATGATCTATGAAGAAGGTACGTCCATTGGGTGCCACCTGCATGGACCAGCGCGGTGGCAGCGCTTCCTCCTCACTGGCTGCGGTCTGCAAAAGAAAACACGAGTCAATTAACCTTGCATATATATTTCGATATGGGGACTGTTCCGAAATCAAGTGGTTTATATATATTGTTGGCAACTAAGAGCACATGCATTATCATACGATATAGGTACATGGTAAATATTTTGAATATGGAATGAACTTTACTTGATCCGTGGGCACAGCCGCGTTGTCTTCCTCGGAATTGCGTCGTGTGGACGGAGCTGAGATCTCTGAGGGATTGTGGCTGTCTGTGTGATCGGTGTCTTCACTCTAATATAAATATGGATGCAATATGTTTTGTTTATAGTCGTTTTTTTGTTTTATTGCAATTGGAAGAAACAGAAAAGAAACGATTCCAAAAATTATAATCAATTTGGGCAAGCTTAACCAAAACAAATACAAAAATCAATTAAAAAACGAAGCAGTACACGAACATAGATTGCAGAGCCAATTAAAGAGACCATATATAAGACATAAATATATATTTCTTTAAGAGACTACAACCAGAAACACAAATTATAAAGACAGATGGGCAAGGTATGGTAGATTGTTAAAAGATAGATTCGATGAAATGATGTATAAAATATGTCATACAGAACCTGGTAGCATTTACAACCTAAATACAAACATGCATAGATACAGAGTTATATTAAGCAGCGCATTAGTTAATCTAGATAAAGTACTAACTATATGCATAACACCCGGATCTATATACCTGTAAGTTTTCTACACTTGCTCTTGAGTTTGCTGTCGAAATTTTGAATGTCAAATGTTATATTTTTGCTTTTAATTTGAATATAAGCGTATTTTCCCATAGCTTACCCTAGCCGCGACACGCGACCATTTTAAGCCCATCCAAAATTTGTCCTCAGTTGAAAGATTTCTGACACAATTTTTACTTGTTTTTTGTTATAAACATGGAAAATTTGGAGCTAAAGTGAATGCAATATTATGATATTGTGCTTTTCTATCATTTTGAAGTTGAGTGGTGCCCTCTTTGGGTTGGGACAATTGAATATAAGGACGAAGATGGTTTTGGCATCAAATATCCTTGACAGCAAAGGCAACAACAACGACGCGAGAAGAGTACAATTTTTTGTTTCTGAGACAAAAATTTGAAGAGGACGAAACACAAACTAAAAATGATAGTTAATACTTATGACTGTGTGTGTGTGTATGTGTGTGTGTAGTGTAGTGTAGTTTAGTGTGCGTGTGTATGAGTGTGTGATTGTGTACTATGTAGCGCAGTGTATGCTAACCAATTGTCTATTCTGCAGCTGGAGTTGGCGTCGTCTCTGCTGCCTGATGTCCAATTGCTGGCGGCCCAGGCTGCTGTCGTTGGCGCGGCGCGTCAATAGATTCGTTATAGCCGTGTTGACCAGGTGGCCAGGTGTCTGGCGCACCGGTCGCAAATCGTTTTGCAGGCTGGTCGACGAGATTTCTGGCTCCCTACCAGTGTCGCGATGTTGCAGTGAATTGTAAACAAAACTGAATTTGTAAAGAGTTCAAATGATACGAGTTAAAGAGACGGCCACAACGTGGGTGGGGGAAGGAAAAGGGGCGGGTAGGGAAGGATAACCGTAGGCACACGCCATGGAACAGGTTGTGGACAACACAAACAGAGGGCGGCACGCCAGGGTTAACGTCTTCTTAGGGGGGATATTTCGAATGCTAACACAGAGTTGGGCATATTAACCTGGCATGGTCCACCATTTGGTCGGGTTCTATTTCGGCCTGCTCAACTATTGTATCACAATTGTTGCTGTTGTTAGCTGATGCTTGCGACTGTCTGCGTGAGATTTGTGTAGGTGTTGTGGCTGTGGGCGTTGTATTGTTATTGTCCTCTATACTCAAGAGACTGCGGGCATCCTAAGTGTAAACGTATATATATATATATATACAGGCATGACAAACATGTGCGTATATAGGTAGAGAGTGTACATAAGATGTAAGATGATCTGCATGTCAAGAATGGTTCAAAGTTATGCTGAACAACGAATGGGCTATTCTTAAAGTTTATTCTAATTAATTCAATTATGATCTACTGTTCCTATGGATTATAACCCCAGATAATGTCGGACAATGAATTGAAATGTTATTGCCGTTAATGTCAATTAAGCCGCTCAATATTTGAGGGATTTTATTTGTTTCTAGTTATAGCCTTGCTTAAGATATCTTGAATACAAAAACTTTGTTTTCAACTATTTGTTTCCATGGCAGCTGCATGATATTGTGGTCGGATCTGACAGACTTTCGATATGTGTTTTGCCTATAGCAAAGATACAAATCTACTTCTGGGCATATCCCAATCAGCTGCTTTATGCTGATCTGGAATATATACGCCTAAGTTTTCTTTAAACTTCTCATCACAAAACAGACTTCAACTAGCTTTTAATATAAAAATCAACTAGCAGACTACATAAATAGTTGGTTAGGTAAATAAATAATGATTCAGGCAACACATTAGCTAGAAAATCAATAGAAGGTTGCGATTCTAGCGATTGTGACACATATCCCAAATATATATATAGACGCTAAGAGACTGTTGGGCATTACAAACAATCGCCTCAGGTACAGATTGTGGTCGAGTATATCACAAGTTTGCGCATTGTCGGACAGTGTTAGCTGACGATCTGTTTCGCTGGCTGCGGCTGATTCATCATCTTCCTCCTGCTCAGCCTCTTCCGGCTGCTCATCGTGCAGCTCGCCGCAGTGCAGACAACTACTCTGGTTATTTGCCGTGTCAGCCAAAAACTCCTCCTCATCCTCATCTTCCTCCTTCTTCTGATCGCTGTCAGCGCTATTCTCAGCCCTTGCATTGGCTCGCTGTTTGTTGTTGTTGTGAGTGTATGACAAAAGCTCACAATGTTTATTTTACAGGTGATGTGTCAGGTGAATTGTGTGTATGCGTGTGTGTGTGTGTGTGTGTTGTGGGTGTGTGTTGTTGGAAAGTTTATAAAGATCATGCATAACAATTGAGTCAATTGTTAACCACACATGCAGCACAATATAGTTGTAAATTGGTAGTAATAAATTGTATTTGTTGTTAATTTGCATTGTTTGTTAATTAAATCAAATAAAAAAGGTCTTTTGTTGGTTGCATTCGGGTAGGACTTGCTTGCACTTACCGGCCCACGTCCCGACTCCGTATCATCCACACTTATGTGAAAACGTCTTTGGAAATCGGAGGCCAGTTGATCAACGTTTTGGCTATTGTTGCTAGTCAAGCTGCAAAGATAATTAAGAATTAGTTGTTGATTTCGTAGAACTCTTAATTAATTGTCAAAGTCTAGTACAAATGTGAAACTACATTCCCGACAGGAACTAATGTGAATAATTATGAATGTCTAATTATAAAATGTCTAAAACATGTCTCAACTTTCACAAGGATCTTGGCAAATGAGTTTCATGCGCATCGAATGGTAAGCAGAAAAGTTTAATACAAGAATTTCGGGTGGACCTTTCCAAAACCCCCTCCAAACGTGCCCCTCTTAGCACGTCCAGTTCGTGCTGTGTATTGATCAGTCAATCAATCAATCAGTCAGTCGGTCAGTCAGTCAGTCAGTCAGGTGAATTGTCTTTCGATAGGTTACACTCACATGGTTGGCCTCTCCCATTGCGTCGTGCGCGCCGCATGATTCACATAGTATGTGCGTCCATTTGCGTCCTGTCGCTCCTCCCAGCCGGCGGGCAATGCATCCGTGCCGCCGCTAGGAAATGGATGCTAATCGGGCAAAAACAAAGAGACTGGTTAGTGAAAAGTGCAGTTAATAGTAGCTAGAGAGCTGTGTGTGAATGTTGATGTAGTTTATTTACCGGCTGTGCTGATTGCTCGCCGGCATTTGTAGCCTCGACATGCTCCCATTCGGCGTCGCTGTTGTTGCTCGAGGGTTCGCTCGGTTCGCGTGTCTCGCGTATGAAGGCATGATATATCTCCAGGGTGCCCTTGATGCGTGATTTGGCGCTATATTTGCATAGATATATAGAGACATAAATAAACATATAGTTAAATAGAGCACTGAATGAGAATGTTTATGCACATTAAGCTGCCAAAGGCCAGCAAATAGACAATACAGATACAGACAGTTACACTCTACACACACTCACACATATTTACAAATTATAATAATAATAATAATATTCCAAAACCATAAACAAATATACACAAAGCGCTGTCTAAACATCAACTAAAAAGCGAATGGGAATAATTTAGAGACGAGTTTCTAGTGCGGTATACGAGATATCTGAAGAAGCAATACGAAATGCAACATCTAATTACAAATGAATCTCTAGATAGCTTAGTTTAGGTTATTTTTGATAAATATTCTTTGGTTTTTGGTCTGTTGCCAGCTAAGGTTTACAATTTAGTTTGGTTTGTCTTTTACTTTGATAGGTTACTAGTTATATATTTATTATGCTGTAGTCTAAATGAACTGAAATTAAATAAAGGAAATCAAACTGCAACTCAAATAAACATACCCTACTGACCTGCGCGGACGCAGCGTATAACTTTGTGAACCAATCGTGCGGCCCTCCTGCTCCGTGGGCAGATTCACCAGCGTCAGCTCGACCATGCCCAGGAAATCGTCGCGTGTCAAGCGATTCTCGTCGAATACTTGAAACACCAGCTTGTGCTCAGACGGTTTGACCTAGACGAATTACAAATTTAAATTTAAATTCTGTTGCATTTAAACATGTTTGGATTCTGTGCTTACCCTGAATATGAACTCCTCATTCCAGGATGGATTTAGTGTCTGTTGGGATTTTCGAGGAAATGTTAATTGACAAGTGCGTGTGCTCTAGTCGAAAATGTCCGACTAGCAAATTCCTGGAACCCAGCAACGGGCTGCCGTTGCAAACATTGAGACTTTTTTCCAAAAGGGTTTGGGACTTTACATTTTGGGCAGAATGTGGGGCAGGTATTCAATGAAATACTCATTATCTAAAATAACCTGTACGAGAGCCTATATACCAAATTTTGTGTATCTAGCTCAAATAATCTTCGAGTTATGTTTAGAAACAGATGCCTGAAAATCGATATTTATCGATATTTCGCTTAGAAAACCTTTCTTTACAATCGTTACGGATTGATTTTACAAAAACAAGGCCAAATATTTTTAACTCCAACATGTCTAGTTGCCGGGATCAGAAGGAAACAAGGGTTGCATCAATCGATATTTATCGATTAATCGAAATGGAGATAGGTTTGTTATAAGGGATTGTATATTGAACACTTCAGTCTCCAAATTGTAAAGTTGCTGGAATAGAGAGCGAATAAGAGTTGTATCAATCGATATTTATCGATTAATGGCAATCGGACTAGTTATATGAGAATATACCTATTTTTAAACCTCCGACTTTTTCAGTTTACAAGACCTAAAGCGAACAAAGGTTTTATCAATCGAACCGATTCGAAATGCAATTTCAATTCGATTAGAACCAGCATTTGTTGGTTCAAATCCAGTTCGCAGAAAACCTCGTTTTAAAATCGATATTTATCGTCTTTATTAAGGTTTCTTATACGAGAATGAACGCTTTGAAGTTCAAGTGTCAAGTGTTTATCAATCTAACCGGTTCGAACCGGTAATTATATTTGATTAGAACCAGCATTTGCCAGTTCAGTTTAGTTTTCTCAGCAAAACCCCCGTTAGAGCGTGACATGTACTTTTCTCAAGATATTATTACTCATTCCCAGCATTTTCACAAATATTTACGCCGGACTTTGGCAAGAAAATTACGAGCAATAATGGTGGGGCAACAATGGACTGCCGATAAGATAAAGCAACCAATTTCTGAGCCCACAGCTAGTTTCGCGGCATTTGTAATTACCTTCTTTTTGGTTTTAGTTAAAACCGAGTCAATATTAATATCACCGTTGATTGTATTCAAATCGATTCTGACATACGGATCACTGGAAAACAGCAGAGATTGAGACGTGTTTGATTACAGATAGCAAATGGGGGGGAGTCTAGACAGAACTTACCTGGCGCCAAAAATGTCCTTCTTGGCCAAGGACTTGCCGCTGAGCACAACTATGCGCAGGTGACACGAGTCGCCAGTGTCGTTCTGTAACGAAAACAAAAATAGAATGAAAAATGTGAAAAAGTTAAGACAACAATTTAAGACAGCGCCAGCCAACACAGCCGAGCGTGCATCAAATGAGCCACTTCTGCTTGCCACATGCAACCGATATCAAAGCGACAACAACCTACTGCTATATACATTTATTCATGTATGCAAATTTATATGTATATATATATATGTGTGTATAAAGCACGAGCATATGCTTGTGCTTAAGCTCGAATGCTGCCGGCCATAAGCTGCGTATACTTAATGCCAGTGATTACGCATACGCCGCGTTGCTGCCGCGCCTAATTTATGCACTTCAATGCTGAAATCTGAAACACAAGATGTTGTGTGCGTATGCGTGTGCGTGTGTATGTTATTCTTCTTGTCCTTGACCCAAGCAGAAGCACAAGCACAAAGGGAGTCTCTCACTCGCATGCCAATTATGTGCTGTACACTTGGCCATATAATTAGAGTTAAATACACATTTTATAGTTGTCACAAAAGTGCATAATAACACGACTTTAAAGTTAAGTTTTAGTGTTAATTAATTTGCCTTTAATGAGTTGTCAACCAGTACCCAAGGCCTGAAGCGAAGGAATACTCTTGGATCTGATACTCTTGTTCGAGTCGGAAGTGCCCGACTAGGAGATACCCTAAAGTTTCTTATCCCAACAACAAATGCAGCTCGTGCTGGGCGGGGCTTAGCTTTAAAAGAATGAAAGATACTTCATCTGTATATAGAATTCTATAAGCCAAATTTGATTACTATTACCTATAAAACTGAGGAAATTTGCTCAAAATCGATATCGATAACGATTTTAATCGATCGCTTGGCAACGGGGCCACTTGTTGATAATCGGAAACAAAAAATCAAGTCTCTAGCTCTTATAGCTTCTGAGACAGACAGAGGGACATGGCTAGATCCACTTGGCTATTGATTCTGACCAAGAATATATATGTACATATATAATTTATAGAGTCGCAAGAGGCTTCTTTCTGTTACATACATTTGCACAACGTCATTTTCTATGTGTCCAGGGTATAACAAAACAAAAATAATCAAACTTATTTTCCAGTTTTTTGATACGTCTACACACAAATTTTAATGTCAACTTTAATCCCTGTGAACTTTATGCAGATGGCAGAGAAAACAAACAAGTTGTTTGAAGAATAAAGTTTCCGTTGACGCAATCTAAAGCAGCTTGTGGTGAAATTACAAGTAAATGCAAGTAAATACAATCATATATATATATATATATAATGTATACAAAAGGCAAATACAGATATAAGTAACTATAAATATATGTTACAACAGCTCGAGACTTAGTTGAGGGTATCTCCTAATCCGGTTTTTCCGTTTAGAGCTCTCCGATTATTGTCTTACAACATTTGAATTATTTCTATAATATTTTATTTATATATGTATAGCATGTAAAGTAGTGTCAACGTTGCGGCGGCTGGCGCACATTTTCCGCTTTCATAGTCGAATGCATTTTGCAGAAAACTATGACACGTTTTCCATGAACTTGTTATATTGATTTTCAGCGGGCTTTTCCATCTTGGAATGGCTGCGGTTTCTGTCCGCTGTCTGCCAACTGCCGACTGCCAACTGCCGACTGCATTGGTATGTCGAATAGCTGCAGCAAAGGCATATTACTTTTAAGTACAGGTTATTCTGGGCCTGGTCTGTAGTCTGTAAGCGTGTCAATGACGAGTGCGCAACAGAATTGTGGCCAGCATGGAGACTGAAATATACATCAGCCCACCCCGAAGCCAGCCTCGATTAAAGCAGTCAAGCGGTCAATCAATCAATCAACAACAGCTACAGCCCGCCCGCTGGCTTAAGAGCAAAACCCAAAGCCCAAACCCTTCTTTGGCGCCGTGACACTAAGCCCCAAGTTTAATTGATTTTTAGCCATCGAATCTCTGGTGGTGATGCATTGCCCCACGGTGCAGCAGACAGCTGTCTGGGCAACAAGCTAATCACATTCATCAGCCTTATAGCAATATATATATTCAAATCTTGAGTAACAAGCCATAGAACATGCATATACATATATCTAGAGAGTTCTTTTTAGCTACGCCGCAGCACAAAGAACATGTACATTATTTTGGTTCCATTGTTGAACAAGGAGGAACATGTACATTATTTTTGTTTCAGGGTTGGATTTTTTAATAAATCCAGTTAAAAACTTATCGATTGTTCAGTTTACTTTGTGAACCAACTCCCTGTCTGAAGGTGGAGCTTGTGAAGTGAGTTTATTGGAATCATCAGCCCAGATTAAGCAACCAAACATATTTTATATATATTTTCATATATATTTTTTCAACATTTTATTGAAACACTTTCTTTACCAAATTATAATTGCGCGCCGGTCTACTGAAAATATTGCAAGTCGTAAATATTTTCATATGCCAAAGACGCGCTAAATTTAATCTGCATCCAAAATTGGCAACTGCCAAATAATGCTTGGATATAGATTTAGGTCCAAGTTCTAGAGTTTAAACAATATTTGAATAAACAAAGTGTAATTTGGGCAACAGCTTGGTTTAAAGTTCGGGTCGGGTTTTGAGTTCCAATCGATTCGGCCTAAAGCCCGTTGCAACCAGTTGCTTTTGGGTTTAATAGTTCTAAGAGGAATTAAATAATAACTATTTATTATTCAGCGGATAATTAGCAAGCATTTTATAGAAAACAATATAGAGATCTTTATTATTTGTCTCTTAATGCACATTATTTTAAATAGAAATATCTTTTTTATATGTTAGCTTATAGAACTTCTTATGTGAACTTCTTTTCAGCAAATTTAATGAAGGTTTGAAGTAAGATAACTTTTGAAAAGTGAAGTTGATCATAGAAGAGAAGATAGATAACTAAATGGGTAGGTAGATAGATAGCGAGATAGACAGATAGATAGATAGGTGGATAGGTAGATAGATAGATAGACAGATATCTAGATAGATAGGTAGATAGATGGATTGACAAGTATCTAGATAGATAGATGGTTAGACAGCTATATAGATGGATGGATAGATAGTTACTATAAGAATCTATATTAACTCCCTATTGATTTAAATCGTTAAACGTAGCGATTATCGTGTCTCGCTCAAAATGATTGCCAAAGCGAAGTTGTTGGCTATCAAATCAGATTCCTCAACATGTGACAGGTGCAGCCCGCTTTGAACTTTTCGCTGATTAATTACAGACCAAAATATATGTGTGAATAATCAAATTCGTCTGATAAGGTTGTTAAATTTCAAGTCGAGCAGCCCGGACGGAAATGTGATTTTTATCTACATCCATTATATAATGCCAGAAGACTTTGTAACTGCCGTTGACAGTAAATACGCAGAAATAAGACTAACTGCAGAGCTCATCGAAAAATATGAGTATAGCCCATAAGCTTAGTAAAACACCATTAACTAAATTGATTAAATTGATTTCTCTACTCCCATTTTTTTTGCACTCATCTAAATGTCAGTGAAAATTCATTACACAAATTGAACTGACGTCGCATATGAGTTTAGCAGAGTTTTTCCCTTTGATGGATTGCACAGTGCAGATGGATTCAGATGAATTCATTTGTAGCATAAACATTGATTTGATTAAGAACAAAATCCATTTCTAGTTAAGGGATAATTATTATAGTTGGACAGAAAAACAAGCATCTGTAAATTAGATTTGATGAACGATTTTCGTACCATTATGCACGTTTTATAGAGTTGGGTAAATATTTATTTGAAATTATTGTTGTTGCTACGGAGCGAAAGATTTATATAATAAGAATTTGAGTGAGTTTTGAACACATTTATTACATATCACATCAAAATACACAAAAATCTGTAGAGCTGGACGTGACGTTTACTCTAGCCAACACATAAAATATGGTAGCGCTCCTCTATGCGATTCTCAACAATTCAAGTAAGCATGACAGATTTTAATGTGTTGTTAGTAAATTAGTAAGTGAGTGAGTCTTAATGAGTTAGCAAGCAATAGTGTGGGTGAAGAAGAAAAACGGAGAGAGAGAAGAGCAGGGGAAGAGAGGCTCTCAGTGGGAGCGAAAGATCTTGATAGTTATAGAGAATGTTTGAGAGTAATAAAGAGAAGGCTTGGTAGTTAGATAGACGGAGAGCGTGAAAAAGTGAGAGGCAGAGGGAGAGAGAGAGAAAGAGAGAGAGGGAAAGAGAGAGAGAGAGAGAAGAATAGACTGTAAGACTGAGAGTTAAAGATAGAGAGCGTTAGAGAATTAGACAGGTAAAGAGAGTCGGAGAAAGCCGAAGGCATATATTTTGTCAGGGAGAGATGAAAAATATTCAAGAAAAGCCCAAGTCTTATGAAATTATTACTTGAATTCACGAAATTCGTGAACATAAAAATGCACAACTTTAACGGAGAGTTCTATGAGGCAGCATTGATTGCGGCTTAGGCATAAGTAGGTGTGCACATTGGAGAGAGGAAAGAGGAAGAGAGAGAGTGGGAGAGGGAGAGAGGGAGCGAGCCTGCGATCACACTTACTTCACTGTTATTGAAGCCATGAATTTGGCCATCTTCACCATTGCTTGTGGTTGTTGTTGACTCGGCCATTTTTTGTTATATTTTGTTAACGTTGTTTTTATAATCCACGGAGAGTGTTAATTATTGCACGCCTATTAACTAAAAAAGCAATAAACATTGAGGGTTATCAGCGATTGGTTTTAACTGCATTGAACGAGATTCGCCGAAAAAAAAAACAATTGAATTTTGGCGCAAAAACCTTTATTTCTATGCCTTTTCGGAGTCTTTTGCACTGCGCCTTTATTTATTTGCAGAACCGAACAGGTTTTCACCACAAAGATTGAGTATTTTTGTTATTTATATATTCGATCGTACGGGTACTCTCGGTTTTATTTATAATTGTTGCGGGTTTCTTTTAGTACACAAAATTAGGTCTGCCTCAAAGTGAAACATGCTAAAATGTAAAAGTTTTTGGCATACGCATGTGTGTGTGTGTGTGTGTGTGTGTATGTGTATGACTAATCAGAGCCCAAAAGAGCAAACGCATACAATTCGCGGCGGGGAGAGCGGGTGCGGCAGCGGGTGCGGCAGCGGGAGCGGGAGCGGGAGCCACAATAATGCGCGATGGCGAATCTTGTTTTCACATTGCGACGTTGATTCTTAGCTCACGACAACGGCAGCCAGCAAAAGGCTGGACTGACTGTTGCTTTTATGTACACATATATACATATGTATGTACGGCTGTTTTATATAATTAACACATTTTCACAGAATTGTGTACAATAGTATTTCAAAACGAACGCGGCGTTTTTATTTTTATATATATCTTTTTTTTTTTTTGTATTATGTGTGTACATAATTCAATTATTCATTTATTTATCTCTCATTAACAGCCGAAGCGCAAAGGCAACGATAGTATTAATAATAATAAACAACAAAAACAAGCAGAACAACACAACAACACACCAACACTATTGCAGAAACATGTTCTTTTCCACTTTCTTGTGATTGTATTTGTGTAGCGACAGCACCAAAAAGAAGCAGCAACAACAACAACAACACGACAGTTGCCGCTGCCTGTAACGGGAGCTCTCGCGTTCTAAGCTAAACTAAAAATAGTGCTCCAAAACAGTGTGGCCAAACGGTTAAAGCTAATAAATGCTAAGCGAGCGACGAGATGCGCTCCAAAAAGCTTTTGTGCGGCAGCTCTTAATGGTGTGACCAAAATGCGGCTAAATAAAATGGATACATTTTCAGAAAATGAGCGGCACACTTGCCATTGCAAGTACATAAATAAACAAAACAATTAAAAAATAAGTTCAATAATAAACAAACGCATATGCAAACAGTGTGTACACATTGTGCAAAGTGCCGTTTACAGTATTTTCACCACTTCAAGGGCAAAGCTTTATGTGCGCGCGAGCTTTTCAAAACAGGCAGCGCAGCTCACGAGTGCGCTGGCAGCTGCTGCGCGAATAAGCGGCAAAGCAAACAAAACAAAAACAGATGATTTGAAGTAAATAGCTGCGTGTTGATGATTTGATGTGTGAGTGCGTGCGTGCGTGTGTGTGTGTGAGGGAGATGTGAATGAAGTACCGTATTTAAAACATTGCCCACGCAAAATCCACTCAAAGCCAAATATGCGTCAACACATTATAATTAACATTTGTTTGCAACCGGCTTACGTCAAGCATTAGTTTTCTATATTTAAATAATTAGATGCACGATAAGCACCGCATTAATGGACTTGTACTAACCCACCGGCAACTGTGTACATATGTGTCTGTGACGTTGACGGGCGTGTCTATGACTGTGACGCAATTATCTAGACTGCGACTACGAAACTTTGACTAGTTGACGGGCGTGTCTATGACTGTGACGCAATTATCTAGACTGCGACTACGAAACTTTGACTACGCTTGGCTGTAGAATACAAAATTTATAAAGCTCACGCTGAGCAGAAAAACGCGCTAACTGCAGCTTGTTAAGTTTTGGAGGGCGGTTAACACAAACTCACTAATGAAGATAAAGGCAGCTGCCCGACTAACTGACAGCGCGTTAAATGAGTTAAACAAATACAGTGAACGCTGCCGTGAGTTAACAATTGCAGCTAACATCTACTTTGTGGCCCACTTAACATATTCTTTAAGAATAGAGTAGCAGAACATTCGCTCATTCATTCTATCCTATATGTTAACATAGTACTCTTATGTATGTTTATGCTCAGCTGTCTGTTAGCAGAGTATTCACTGTAGCTGAAAGTCGCTCAATTCATTTCATTGAGAGCTCAAATTACGCACATTCAAGTGCCATTCAAGACAGACAATTGCTGTTTATAAATTCAATTAGCAAATTAATTTGCAAACCTAACAAAAATAAGCACTAAGACTTTGCTTTTAAGTGGGTTTTTTGTTGTTTTTGTTTGTTTTCAAGGCGTCAATGTTTATTATTGTTATAAGGCAGCATTTTCTAGTTGTTTGTTTATAGAGGAAAAGCGCAAAAGTGCGAATTTTCAGGCACATTTTCATTGGAGCTGGCATTAAAGCAGCGCCCAGCACCTAGAAACGTGTCTTTTAAAGATCTCTGGAATTTGATAATTACACTCAGCGCTTATCGTGCCCAAGACCTTATCTCGGGCCACAAAAGCACACATAAAAATGCTTAACTGCCTGCAAGTTGCGAGGTTGAGAATGTTGTGTTCTTTTGTGGAATCAAAAGCACTTTGATTTGCAATAGAAAACCAAAAATCTAATTTCGTAATTGTTATCTATATGTGTGTGAAAATATGCATGCACGTGTATGTTTACATAAACCAAAAGTTTATTTCACTTTTATGATAACTAAGTGTAAAATTTAGCAAAGCTAAACCTATTTTTAAATATCACCCTACTACGTGATATTTCAAGTAAGCCTTATAGGTTTTCCTGCTATGTTTATCAGTTTTATATTAACCAGTGTTGTTGGTCATCTAATAAACCTTAGTAGTGTGTGTGAATAGGTATGATGTACGTGTGTAGGTATGTATGAATGTGTTTGCATGTATGTATGTATCTCTGCATTTATGTAGTGATATATATGCACGTTTTCTTACACCAAACTCAGTTAAGAAGGCATATAATTACTATATAGATGTGTGTGTGTGTTTGTTCATATATGTGTGTGTATATGTGGGCGTGTGTGTGTTAGTGTATGCAAGTATGTATGTATGCATTTATGTATTTATGTATGCATGCATGTTTGATTTCTAATACCAAACGCAGACTAAGCTTATTTGTCGCTGTACTGCAAATTTTAATAAAACGAATTTCTACCAAGTGCTCTCCTCCTCGATTCTCAAGAATGCAAGTAGGCCTTGCCGAAATTCAACAAGGCAGGAAACGGCCTGTGGAGGAGCAGCTGGAGGCGGTGGAGCAGGAGGCGGGCGGGTAAGTAGAAATGTATGTATGTAGATGTATGTATGTAGATGAACGTGTGTGTGTGTGTATGTATGTGTGTGTGTGTGTGTGTGTATGTGTGTGTGTGTGTGTATGTGTGTGTGTGTGTGTGTGTGTGTGTGTGTGTGTGTGTGTGTGTGTGTATGTGTGTGTGTGTATGTGTGTGTGTGTGTATGTGTGTGTGTGTGTATGTGTGTGTGTGTGTGTGCATGTGTGTGTGTGTGCATGTGTATATATGTACATATGTATGTGTATGTATGTATGTATGTATGTGTATGTATGTATGTATGTATGTATGTACATATGTATGCATGTATGTATGTACATATGTATGCATGTATGTATGTACATATGTATGCATGTATGCATGCATGTATGCATGTATGTGTGCATGCATGTATGCATGTATGTGTGCATGCATGTATGCATACTATGTGTGCATCATATGTAGGCATCCGGACATGTATTCATACATGACCGCATACATGCATGCTTGCAGATATGCAAAACAAACAGGCATGCATGCAAATGTGTATGCATGTATGAGTGTTGTTCTATTATGTCAAATGCTGTTCAAGTTTACAGCTAAGTGTTGTGAATTAACAATTTATTTGGCCAATCTAATAGTAATTATCTTTACTCATTCTCTACTCTAATTTACTCTTTACTCTCCCCCTTTTCAACTCTCTTTCGTTACCATTTGAAACATTTGGGAAATACCACACTTTCTTGCTTTTAAATGTATTTTAAAACATTAACAAGTAATGTCGCCTTTCCCCCCAGAACATTAATGCGAGTCACAGATGTTTTTAGGGTTGATTCCCATAGTCTGGAGAGATTAGATTGACTGTGAAAACACCGTAAAAATAAATATGCATATATGTATGCGCATGTGTGTGTCAGCACTAAATAACGCAAAAAAAAACGCTGATAAGCAGCGAAGTTCCCACTTGCAGCCCAAAACTGACCCCCCCTGCAGCCGCTACTCACCACAGCTGCCAACGATCTGCGTGGCGCGTGTCCGTTGTTGTAATCCAGGCGCTGCTGCTGCACCTGCTGTTGTCCCGCCACAGAGGCGGCGCGTCGACGTGGCGGCGGGCGTGGCACATCGGCCGTTGACGAGGACGCAGTCACAACGCTGCTGCGTGCCGACATTGTGTAAGGCCTACGATCTGTAGCTGCAATAAAAAAACGACAAAAAACAATGAAAGAGACAGCAATAAAACGATCGAGAGAGGGAGACAAAGAGACAACGGAAGTGCATCTTTAATGAAAAGCACACAAAAGTGCTTTAACAATAACAATAGCAAGAGGTGCGAATAAATGGAAGCTGCTGCATAGCAAGGCCAAAGAGACAGTAGACAACAAAGGCGTACAACGAACGGTACTTGTAAGGTACACAAACACAAACACACACACACACGCGCAGTGTCTATGTATGTGCGCATAGAATTCATATGACCAGCAAAGCATAAAGCCAAGTAATTATCCAAGCGCAAAGGGTTCAACGCCGTGTCGACCTGGCCGGCTTCCGTCATGGCCCCAAAGCTCTAAACTTATTCTATTTTACTTAATCTTTAAAGTTAAAAACACAGATACGGACGCACACACACACACACACACAGCCATACACACACTGATTGCCGCGCTTACTTGCACAGCAATTTTGCTTGATTTATGCTATATTTTTAACTAAATTGTTCTACTATAAATGTGAGCATGTATTTGTGCAATTTATGAATGCATACACATATAGGTAGGTGTATGTGTGTGCGTGTGCGCTGATACTTGAGGAAAACTCATCTCACGTACATCTTTTTGCACTGCCAACTACACGATACGCTACGGTTTCGTTTTATTCGCGTGTCAACACTAAATCGCGCTTACATCTTCCGTTTCACATATAGATAAATTGATTGTTTATTTTATTCAACACAAATATTACAACAATTTTTGAACTTTCACAGCTTAACACGCCCGACAAAATCCGACAACTAACTTATTCCGATATGTCTGTTGATAACTTTCGAGTGCAACTCTGCGGTCAGAGTAGCGAAATACAATTTACTAGAAGCAGTGTTGTTAAATACCAATTAAAATATAAAGTGTAATTTTATAAATCAACAAGTAGCCAAAACAACTATTTTTTAAGTGTGCCAACAGTAGAAATCTTTATTTAATTCAATTTAAATAGAAATGAATATTTTTGCCTGCTTCTGCAAATAAATACTAGAGGTAACAGTGACAGCGCGTCTCAGGAACAGTTACCACGATATTCGCTGATGTCTCTGATTTTTTGCACGCAAATATCGCCCGTCACTAACGAAAACGTAAATGCGAAAGGCAGTGAAAAATTTAAACGAAACAACACAAATTCTTGTAAATTCAATGGAGTATTAAATTTTAAAGGTCATTTCATGTAAACTATACAAATCCAAATAACCCGAGCACATTTTGCATTCATAAAATCAAGTCATTTACGTTCCCAATTAACGTGCGTGCATTAGTGCGTGGTAATTGCGTATTAAACAACAACAGCAACAGCAGCTCGAAAACAAACTGCAAACGCTGGCAAAAAACTGAAGCCCAAAAGTGAAACTAAAAACGAATATAAAAAAAAAAACATTTTTGTGTGGTCGACAATTAGTTCTTACATGGGTTTAACAGATCAAGATTGGATTGGTAGTGCGGTCAGCCTGACCTGCGACGACGAGCTGGGCGTGTTTCAGGGCCTGATTAAGAAGATTTCAGCCGACGAGATAACAATTGTGCGCGCCTTTCGCAACGGCGTACCCTTGCGCAAACAGAACGCGGAGGTTGTGCTGCGCTGTGCCGACATCAAGAGCATCAATCTAATCGAGCCTGTGAAGGACGCCGAGACGACGACGCCGACGGTGATCAACAAGCCGACGCCGGTCAAGTTGCCGCATTTCTCCAACATTCTTGGCAAGCAGCAGCAGCTGCAGCATCAACAACAACAGCAGCAGCATCTGGAGCGCGAGCAGGAGCTGCCCGTGACACCCAGAGCCAAGGCGAACGGACATGGCAACGTGGCCAGAAATGGAGCAACTGCAGCCGGCAGCAACTCGGCGCTGAGTGATAAAATGCAGCAGCTGATGCTCATCACAAATGCGAATGGCGCTAATGGAGTGCGCAGGTGAGTAAGGACACAGGTGGGAGCACAATTGGGTGGGTACTTTACAACTGGTTATAGGCTGTCTCCTATTCCGGCTTACTTTCGAAACAACCGAGCTAATAAGGTAATTTTGTGCTTACCTTTGCAGAACACCGCAGAGCTCACGTGCATCCAGTGCACAGCAGCCGATGGCGACGACGCCTAACAGCGTGGCCGCTTTCTTTGGCAACATGATTCCGGCCAAGGTGGAGGTAAAGCTGGGCAGCACGGCCTACAATGCAGCAGCAGCAGCAGCCAGCGGCGGCAACAACTTGGAGAGCTACTGCAGCAGCAGCGCCGATGGCAGCTGCGGCAGCGCCGAGGCAGCTGGCGGCAGCAGACCCATTGACATCGTCAGCAATAACAATAGCAACACCAATGGTGCTTTCTATGCCCAGGCGGCGGCCAGCTATGGCAATGGCAATGGCAATGGCAAGCGCAATGGCAATGGCGGCAGCTTCAACTCGAACTCTTTTAATGGCAACGGGCATGCAAATGGCAATGGCAATGGCAACGGCAAGAGCAAGGGGCGTAATCGCGTGCGTCGGGAGAGCAGCATGCGGCTGCAGCAGCAGCAAACGTTTGGCAGCGAGGCCGATGATCCGCTGCTGCACGAGGAGTTTGACTTTGAGGGCAACCTGGCGCTGTTTGACAAGCAGGCCATCTGGGATGACATCGAGTCGACACACCAGAAGCCGGATGTTGTGCGTCATGCGGTCCATGTGCAAAAGCAGCAGCAGCAGGAGAAAAAGTATCGTCACGATGAGAACATTTTGGCCAGCAAGCCGCTGCAGTTGCGCCAGATCGAGAGCATTTTTGATGGCAGCAAGGATTTTGTAACGGACGATGGCCTTATTATACCCACCATTCCGGCATATGTGCGCAACCGGATCGAGATGAGCGCCGAGAAGGCGGGCTTGTCGCTGCAGCGACAAATTGACATGTTGGCGCGGGGTGCCAGCGACTTGGCCATAACACTGCTGGGCGGCGCCAGACGCTTGACGCCAGCGAACAATCATCAGTGGCCAAAAATAGCCATCATATGCGATGGCGTTAACACCATGAGGTGGGTTGTCTGCTGCCTAAGCTTGCTTAAGATGCTCCTGTACTAAATTGCATATCCTTGCCCACAGAACAATTAACATTGGCGCGGCTACAGGTCGCCTTTTGGCCTCGCATGGCCTGACCGTGCTGCTCTATGTGGAGCAGGCGCAGCTCATTGAAAAGAACAGCAGCTTGGAGGTGGCCCTCTTCAAGGCTACCGATAATACCATAGTACATTCGGTGGACGGTACGTAAAGCCTAGCCAAAAAATATATTAAAATCTGTAATAACTTGTCTGAATATTGATCTTGCAGCTATGCCCACGCCTGATCTTGTGATACTATCGACAAATACCGTTAATCTATCGGATGCAATTAAGCAATGGCTGAGCGTCAATCGGTAAAATCCTTCTCTTATTTCTATAAACAAGTGTATTAACTTATTACATTTACTTGTAGCGCATCGGTGCTGGCCGTGGACCCGCCACCGTGTGGCATTAAGGATGTTGCTATCAAGTACTCAATATTACCCATTCTACCATTGATCCAAGATCCAAGCACTTCGGCTGCTGCTGCTGCAGCAACAGCCAAAACAACGAATAATTGTGGCAAACTGTATTTATGTAATTTAGGTATACCAGATAAATTTTATCGTGATTGTGGCATTAAGTACAAAAGTCCGTATGGACATAAATATGTGATACCGATTCACTCAAAGGACTGAAACAACGACAACAACAACAGCACACACACAAGCAAAACAAACAACAACAACAATCATCAGCAACAGACAACAACAACAACGACAACGACAGCAATAAACCAATCATAATCAGCAACAAAAAGCACTCAAACACACACACACACACACACACACACACACACACACACACACACATGTGATGATCATCAAAGTCCTGTTTCCTGTGAATCTAGCTAGCTCTTAGAAGTCTCTCATATATAACTCACATTATACATTATGTATTAAGTTTAAGCACATAGTTTATTCCTAAATTCGATTATTGATCCTCCATTAAGAGCTGCCCTAGCTTAGTGCCGAACTACATTCATAATCCTATATATTTATATATTTTTGATGTTGTACAAACCCTTCAAGCTAGTCCAGCATAATTGATTTTGTCTTGGCGCTCGCTTAAGGTTGTCAAAATTGTTTTTAGAGCCACGTTCTTGCATATTTGATGCTCTCCCACCCGCAACTATCCTATAAACGAGTCTGTAGCTTTACAAATATTTTATATGCACTGGACAAAAAGGATCCTACCCGAAAAAAAAACAAAAACAAAATAAGAAAAAGAACCTAAACTGGTCTTCGGAGCAACTTTCAAATATGCATTCAACAAATGATTGTAAATAATTGTATATTTGCATAATTGTTTGTATATGTATATGGAGAAAACTCAATTGAATTCATTTTGTGAGATTGAGCGAAGTATACGCAATACATGCCAAATTAAATGTCTACTTTTTAAGCATAAAATCAACAACTATTATATTTTAATTTCATAAACAATACAATTACAAATACAAATACAACAATTACAAATCAGAGATCAATAAGTTAGTTTCGTAAGCTTAAGGTGTTAAACAACAAGAAATCAACAACAACAACAACAACTTTAACTTGTATTTAGAGATAATTTTTAAGCAAATTGTAAGCTGTAAAATCGAAAAACCTTATTTTTACACCCATCGAATACTGAGAGAAAAAATCCCAGAATACTTCTAAATGTATCGCGATGAGTTTTATAAAAAACAAAAAACCAAATCTGAATAAGTACTATATCAAAAACCAATCAAATAGCGAAAATCTATGTTAGCAGTTGCAAACTCAATATCGCAACCAAAAACCTTAACTAATTGTTGTAAAAATATTATAATGTAGATTCTAAATTTCAATTGTTGATGATCGAGCCTGCGAATTTGTTTCGTACTTTAAACAAAACAAATCGCAAGAGAAAAGAAAAACATATAACAAACGGTTTAATGCGCTTTTCTCAAGCGGAAAAGCGTCTGTGACTGTTTTTGGAGTTAGGAGTAGGAAAGTTGACAGGACGTTGAAGTGATGTTAGATGGATCAGAGGTTGAGAAGGTTATTTCCAACAACAATAATAAACAATATCACACACGCACACACACACATGCATGTACACACCAACACACACACACACACAACAAGAACCACAGACTTTGATAAATGCTTTAAAAATTGTAAATTTAAAAAACTATTTTCGGTCCAATTGTATAAAAACATAATTTTAATACGCCAAACCAAAAAAAAAAAAGAAACAAAAATTTGCCGACAAATCAAAAATACATATAAACACAAGTTAACTAAATGAACAAAAGAAAAACAACAAAAATCCTTTACAACAACAATATTAAAGAAACAAAAACACCGAAAAAGCCTTCTCATGGAAAACAGAAATGCAATTGTGTTCTTATTTAAAAAACGGAGCTGCCCATCCAAGGATAAAACCCACAACAAATCTGCTCTGGCATGCACGCTGTACTCTTCTCGTGGCTTGACGCTTGTAATTCTCAACTAGTTAAAGCTTCGTGGGAGGGACAAGGCGTAAGGGATCTGCTGATTATTTAACCGGGAGGTACGTCATGCAGGTTTACCGTGAGTACAGACATTTTTCTTGTTTCTTTTATTTATATAAAACAAAATATGACATAGATCACAAGATTATGGCATCCAGCATCCATCCAAGCAAATCCCCTGATTAGTTTACCCTTTAAAAAGTTGAAGCAACAAATTTGTTGTTGTTTTTTTTTTTTTTACAATGAACTATTTAGTTTAAATTTTGCTCTTCGAAGGCACATATTTATATATATACCTATATATAATTATACATTTTTAAGCAAAAACAGAGAGTCTTTGCTTTTAAGCGAAACAATAATACTTCATTCAATGTTTGCAATTTTAGCTAGCAGAAATTATCTCAAATTGAAAATCCAAGTTTAGACTATTCGAAAGTCTAAGGAGTGTAGTAATAAATGCTAGGTTTGTTTATGACCTTGGTCCATCTTCAAGCGCTTTGGCTGGAGATCTCCTTTGTCGTTATCGCGACAACGTTTGCCCAATGCCGTTTGTTGTTGTGTGCCGGGCGATTGTAGCTGCACGGTTATGACATTAAAGGCTTCCACCTCAACGGAAACAACTTTCATTTGGGGTGTTAGGAGACTCTCCTCAAAGCCAGAATCAGGACTGGGCCAGTTGCTCTCCTGTAGCTGTTGTCCCTTCACAGCGGGCATCGCGTGATAATAGTGATAAAGTGTGATGACGTCCACACATGGTTCCACCATGTGTTCCGTGTACGACGTAAGCTGTGTTAGGTAGGGCGTCCAGCGCTTGGGCAGGCCGCACACCTGTCGCGTGGCAGCAATACAGCTTGCGGCCAGCAGGGAAGGCGGCTCGTTGCTAAATCTGTTGACTGCAATTGACATTTTATTTTGGTTAATTTTGAATAATACAAAAACAACTTTAGTCGGCAGTGGCCGACTAGAAGATGCCCTGAACCCAGCCCCAAACTTTCTTCTATACGAAACTTCCCTCTGAGCTCTTTAAGCAGCGTGCGCTTCTTTGTCCCCACACTACGTATGCGAAGTGCATCCTTGATTAGCTTCGGTGTCTGTTGTTTTCGTATGGTATAGGATATAAATTTTAAGTTTAGTTTCTTATGATACGCCTTCACACAGACGGACATGGCTAGATTGATTCCTTTCGACATCCTGACCACGAATTTATAAAATTAACTCTTCTTTTTCTATGCCACATCCGTTCTCACAAAAACAATATACCCTCTTAGCAATTTCCACGGGTTCAGGCTATAATCAATTGCAAATATTCGTCAGCTTACTGCTCAGAGTGTAGTCAGATATGCGAAGCAGCAGCTGTGCCAGCGAGGCCAGCATTTGCTCGAAGCAACTGTAGCGCGGATAGCTGGCTGCCAAGGCGGGCAGCTCATCCAGTTGTTGGCAGTAGGATGCATAATCGTCGCGTGTCAGAAAGCTGCAGGCGAACATCTCCACAAAGCTGGCCGTCGTGGGTCGCATCAGGTTGAACTCAAAGAAGGTGAGCACCTTGCGCTCGACGGCCTTGTACTCGAACGCCGTGTAGCAGTCCTTGATCAGGCGATTCATTTCGCTGTAGCGCGGCACAAAAGCATCCTGGTTCTCGATCTGGGCCGCAATGTGCAGACAGGTCAGGGCAATCAGTTGCAGCTTGTCCGTCCGAATGGTATAGAAATCCAGGAAACGGTCCAGATAATAAATGGCTGCAAATGTACTCAGTTATTCAGATATATATATATTTATGCTGGCGGATCCTTGGACCTACACAAATGCAAGGCGCAACGGCTGAGCTTGTAGGTGCGCGTGATTAGCTGGCAAAGCTGCAGGAGCTTCGGTCGTTGATCGATTTGGGTCGACATGAAAAACACTTGACGACGACGCAACTCGGACTCCTTCATTGTCTTGAAAATGTCGATTGCGTAGTCGCTCAGCCATTGGGATTTCGACAGGCGCTGCAAAGGGCACAAATACATAAACCAAAATAAACTTATATACGTATAAAGCGCGTGCATACCTCGAGCTTGGTTCTTTCATGCTCATTTTTCTCGCTGAGCGTGAAGATGTTGCCCTCAAGCGCAGGCTTTGCCATTTTCCTGCGTGTCGTTTATATGTTTCTATTTACATACAAGTTTATTTCGTTTGCTTTGAAACTCATTGCGAACGCGCACACATAACAAGCAGCTCGAAAGTATGGCCGACAATAACGGTTATAGCAGAGTGTGTACACACTGTACAAATAACCGTAAAAGCTGTTGAATGGGGCGAGAGATGGGCGATTTTTTGCAACACGCCAGAGACCAGACCCAACATTAGAAAACAGGCACAGTCTAATACATTTTTATAGCATTTATTATTATCTCATTTAAATTCTGCAATTTTAATATTAAAATTATTTATTTACGAGCTGCTGCTCTTAATAAATAGCTCTTTTTGGTTCCACCTCGTGAGCCTCATCGTAGATCAATCACGCTCCGCAAAACGGTCCATCACTAGAAAAAATATTCATATTCAAAACTGTTTTCAAGTTGTTTTTTTTTTTGTTTGCTCCAAATGATTTTCGTTAAATAACACACTTGTTTTAGTTGTAAATTTGATTCAGAGCTCATTTATTTGTTTAAAGGATAATAGCTTACATATGCTAAGTCTATAAAGGAATGAGTACATATATGAAAAAAAATTCGTCAGGCGACAGTTCAGTTATTCAAGTTGTTTAGCTGTCTTATATCGAAGACTTTGGATAAATCTAGCGGAGTCAGGAACTTCGGTTAAGTAAATATGCGGCCAGCGGCCTTAAGGCACCAAGTCGGACACGTCCGATTCGTTGCCGTCGGACTCGTCGCCCTGTGCTGTTATCGATGCGGGCATCTCGCAGCCAAAGTAGGCATTGTTGTTGGCACAGAAGAGGATCAAATGACGCCAGCAATCGTCGACGGCGAGCAGCTTGGGATTGCCAAAGATGACCATCAGGCAGCGGGCACGAGAGATGGCCACATTCATGCGCTTGTTGCAGCGCACAAAACCCAAACTGAGACGAGCATCGGCGCGCAGATTGGACTCCGAGGAGCGAACCGTTGAGATGAGCATGATGTCACGTTCCTAAGACCAAAAAAGGAAGCGTCAATCAGTTTAGTTGGAGCACTCAAATGAAGGCAGGTCCTTACCTGACCCTGGAACTCCTCGACGGAGCCAATCTTGGGCATGGACAAGTCTGCAGCGATAAACATGGTCCGCAGCGTCTTCACTTGCTTCGCATAGGGCGTCAGTATGCCAATTTGCTCGTGGTGCACATTGCGACGATACAGCAGTATGGTCAATAGAAATACCTCGCGAGCCTCGGCGATATTGTACCAGGACGGCGAATCGAAATCCTGCAAATTTTCACCCATGATGCCGTGAAAGAAGGTGCCGTGAGTGCGCGGCCTTCCCTGGTGATCTTCAAAAATCGCCTGCAGCTCGGCCAGAAAGCGCCCCTCCCGCGAGTCCTTATCCGAGACCATGGAGATGAGCTCGTTGTCGTAAAAGAGTTTGCTGTACACATTCATGATCGAGGGCAGCGCCCGATAGTTGTACAACAGTTTAGTCAGCACGCTGGGATTATAGCCGGAGCTGTTGGGATAGCGCTGCATGTCCCGGCGATACGGTGAAGTCTCCAGCAAGCGCTCCAGATAGGACATGCCCAGACCCAGCTCGCTCGCATAACGACTGGTAACAATCGCCTGCAGCTGGTGAGGATCGCCGGCGAGCACCACTTGGTTGCGTTTCCGCGCCAACAGCACAATCGGCACCATCGTCTCCGGCTCGGTGCATTGGCCGGCCTCGTCGATGAGCACATGGGTAAAATGTTCAGGTAGGAAGTCCATTTGGATAAAGTTACCCAAAGTGGTGCAGGTGCTGATCGTGATGCGATGCTTGCCCAGGTACTTGGCCTGGCAGCGCAGCTTAAGACCCGATTCGGTGATAATCATCTAAAAGCAAAATATGTTAATTTCCTTTGGGCTTGGGATTAGGATTATTGAAGCTACTCACGCTGTCATGGTCGGAATCGACGGTCCCAATGTCGACGGTGGCACAGTAGCTCGCCAGCTCCGGCGGCACGAGATCCTTCTCCACCTGGTTTTGCGAAACGAGACGTATAAATTCGCCATGGTTGAGCGCTTTGCTCGCAATGATGCGTTTGGTAATTAGATCTGCAGAGCTATTCGAGGGCGTGCCCACCAGGAGGCGAGAGCCCGGCACATGGCGCACCAACTGCAGGATGGTCTCGACCAGAGTCACAGTTTTGCCGGTGCCCGGCGGTCCAAAGATCACATAAGGCATATTCTCCGTTTCGCCGCGCAGTACATTGTAGACGGCACGCTTTTGGATGCAGTTCAAGCCCTCGTTGAACCAGCTCAGCTTGTCGTCATACAGATACATGTTGTCATCTTTGAACTCCACCTCCAGCTGAACATGATCGCGCTTCGCGACCTTGCTGGGAAACAGGAAATTCTCACCCATATGGCTGCCAATGCGCGACAAAGCGTGATGCTGCTTGCGGAAGGCGAACCTCGAGAAGTGGAACTCCAGGCGATAATCCTCGCCATTGTATTTCTGCTGAAAGTTGGCATTGAACTTGAGATAAATACGATTGAAGAACACCTTGTGGACGACGCCTTGGAACAGTTTGTTCTCCTTACTGTCCGGCTGCGCCCAGGGATTGATGGCGTTCACAGTATCGCCCAGCACCAGCGAGGGACGACGCTCGGCGAGATTCTCAATTTGCAGCGAGAGGTATTCGCCTTCACGATTAAAATGCGCACGCTCCCGATCATAATTGCGAAAGTTAATATTGTAGTCAATCTCCTCCAGATGCAGCAAGGTCGCAAAGCGCTGCACATAGTTGCTGAAGGCGACGCTCTCGTTGAGGAATGGATACTGGACGCCCAGCAGATCGCTTACATCGGACATGCTCTCAGTTTTGAGCACAATATTGCATAGCTTTTCGGGCACCTCGTAGTTGGACAGATGCACGGGCACAAAGCGACGTTTGGTGGCAATCGATTCACCCGGCACCAGTGGGCTCTTATTCGAATAGACCTGATAGGCATAGAAGCGGGAGCGCTGGCGCGCAGTGCGTCCACCGACCATCAGCTGCTCGGACGCAATCAGACGGCGATTCGCCTCCAGGGCATCCTCCTCCGTTAAGCACACAACGACGGTCAGATAGCGTGTCACCTTGAACCTGTCGAACTTAAGCGTGAAGTACTCCTTCGATTCGCCAATGAACCGGGTGTGCACCTCAAAGACCAGCGATATATGACCGCCCATCTCGATGCTCCTCGAGCTGATCGGCTCCACCACACTGATGTGCGCATCCGAGGCATTCGGTATATCAATGCTGACAAGCTCAAAGGTTCGCTTGCCCACATTTCTCACCTTGAGGGTGACGTGGTGCTTCTTGCACTGCTCGGTGAACACAAAGCGATCCTTGCCCTCTATGGAAACGGCCCGCTTGCTGTCCGACGACGTATTCAATGGATTGTTTTTCACTTGGCCAAAGTTCTTCTCCAGCACAGACAACTTGATGGCGCGACGCGAGAATTTCGACTGTGGGCAGGCAAGAATATATTTATATATATATATATCAGCTGGATGAAGTGTTAGAAAAGTCTTTATATATATATATTTGTTGGGGATTTGGATCTCTTCTTCTTCTATTCGCTACATAGACTTCCCTCCTCCGCAGGAGCATATATAAATATCTATATAATGCTTGGATTCCTTACATGTTTGCACTCGATGAGATCGACCTTGACAATGTCGCCCAGATGCAATTGAATGCCTTTGGGCACATCCTCCTTGAGTACATAGGCATTGGTGAGCACGGCAAACTCCTCAAAGACACGCTCGACGGTGCACTTCTGATCCGGTTCGATGCGTGTGGGAAAGATCTTCTTCACGCCGAGTATTTCGCCCTGTTTGTCCACATAGCCGTCATCCAGCTGAACATTGCAGATGAGCGTGATCTCGTCACCCGTTTTGGGTATAAAGTTCGACTCAATGTTGTCCAGGTCCACATTCAGCTCGCCATAGTCCGTGTCCACCAGGATGGCCGAGGGCAGGCGCTGCGTAATGTTGCCCAGAATGTTGCGTAGCTGCGTTTTAAAGTAGACGGGCCGGTCGAGCTTCAGGGATTCGAGCACCTCCGCCACCTGGTAAAGAATTATCATTGGCATTGGCTGAGATATTGGCTGGTCTGGGGATTACCTTGTTGTCTGTTGCTTCCTCCCACGACTGATCAATGATTTGTTGTATCTTGATGACCTTGCTGACGCCATTCTCCTGCTCATAAGTCAGATACTCGATCACGGAGCCAACGGTTAACTCGGTGAACAGTTGCCCTGCGGCCTGTCTCTGAAAGGCTATGGACTTATCAATAAGGCCATTCTGATCAGTTACAAATGTGATAACACCCTTGCGCGCGGAGCAGGAAGTGCCGATTAGTTTGTCACTCTCGTTCTCGTTGCCCGAGCCGGAGTCTGGCATTTGCAGACCGTTTCCATTGTCGTTTTCTTTGTTATCATTGCTGGGCTCTTGGTCCAGGAAGCGGTGCTCGATTTGCAGCAGATCACGTTTGTGCTCGCGCTCCTGCTCGTTGCTCTGGAAGATTTTGCTCCAGAACGACAGCATCTTGTGCCTATTGCTGCGGCTTCTTCTCGAGACTCTCGTACATCCAGTCCGTCTCGCTGATGTAGTTCAGCTCGCTGCGCAGCTGCTGCAGCCGGCTCAAGTGGCTGTCGTTGGTTTCCTCTTTGAAGCCGCTTTCGCTGGTTATCAGAGATATAACTTTGCTCGTCGACTGGCTATCGAGTTTCTTGATCTGAAGTGGAAGAGCGGGGAGGGGGGGCATACATGAAATACTTATATATATATATATATGTATATGCACAACTAAGGGCGCGGGTATCGAATTTCAACAGACCTCAGCACTATTGCCGCTGCTCTCTGAAATGCTGGGTGTATTGTTGCTGTCGTTGATGCCTGTTGCTTCGCCGGACATAATCGACATGGTCCTACGAGGTCGCAAAAAAAAAATACGCTGACGCAGCGTAAAGTGAAGGCGCGTAATTGGAATTTGCCTAGTGCGATTAATAATTGACTTATTATTGTTGAAAAAGGCAAGCACGCACAATATCAAATCAAGTTACCTAAAATATGCGTAAATTGATGCTTTTTATTGGCGTCTGTCAAATGAAAATCCAATTCGGCGTCCGCACAACTTTGAAGTTTGGTTTGAGACTGAATGAACGCCGCACACATAACCTCAAACTTAGCTCGGCTTGTGAAACAGATGTTTTTGACGTTGTAACTTAACACTTTGCTGTAAAGTTATTAACAGCAATCAAATAATTTTTGGCCGTTAGGTATGTTTTGAAAATAATATAGTGAATTGTATAATACAAAAGAATGCTAAATTAAATAAATATATGACAAGTAGGAGGAAAATATACAAGCAAAACGCTATATATCGTATAAGCCTAAAGCTAGCAGCTGTTAAGTTTACTAAACAGGCGGTTGGCAGTGCCATATGAGTACCTCAACAGACGGTAGTCGCAATAGCCACAGTGTGGCCCATCGATAATTGTAAAACAGTGCTACAAGCATCGATTAGTCCAATCTGTATACAAGGTATTCCCTGCATTAACTTTGTAAGTAATTTAGTGATGGTTATATTATTTGTTGAATCAAGTGTGCAAATGAGATGAGACAATAGCTTTAATTGAAAAATTTGGTACAAGAGAATATCGAAATCAGAGTATACGAACTATCGATAGTGCAATCGTTGTTTGGCACATCTCTAGCACAGGTGCATCGTATTCGCTAACCGAATCGGCGTGCAAAGAAAATTTACGATTTTTTTGGCAATCTGAAACGCCAAATAGCTTTAAACAAGTAAGTTGTGAATTTGACGCTTAACATAGGAGCCAACGTGCCGCCAGCAAGAGTAGATCAGACAGCAGCAGCAGCAGCAACGAGCGCAGCAGCCACAGCTGTAAAACTAGGAACCGAGACCCGTCGTTGCCTGTCCGTCGCGTGTACATTTTCAGCAGTGAATTCATTTCGGCGTTTCGTGGGTGTTCCGAGAAGAAGCGTGTTGAGACTGCGCCAGGAAAGATGGTTAAAGCTAAAAAGGGCAAGAAAGAGATACTGACCACCGCTGAGGGCGGCTCATCGGCGGACGAAATGTGAGTACTCTCTTTGTTGTTTGCCACGATGGCATTTTGGCAACTTTCTGCTTAACTACGTTTACTTTGCGATATAGGGAAACCAATACTGTCATAGATTCGGACAACGACCAGGTCAGCACCAACAACAAGAAGAATCAGCAGAAGGGCAAAAAGAAGAACAAGAAAAATGCCAATGCTTCAGATGATGGCAGCGACGAGAATGCGCCAATTGAGACCATTACAAAGGCCGTTAAAAAGCTGAATGTGAAGGGCAAGGGCAAGGGCAAGGCCAAGAATGTGGACGATGACTCCGATGAGGAGCCGAGCCAAAAGTCTGCCAAGAAGTCCGCTTTCAATTTGCTGCTGGACGACGATGACGATGAGGAGAATGATGCGCCGGAGGCACAAATCTCATCCGAGGAGGAGGAGACAGTGGTTGTAAAGCCACAGAAAAAGAACGAGAAGAAGGGCAAAAAGGCCAAGCGCAAGGGAAAGGAAGATGACGACGAAGATTTGGATAAAATGCTGGCAGAACTGCAGGCGGAATATGCTGGCGAGGCGCCAGCAGCCACCATTGGAGCCGAGCAGGTGGCCGACGAGCTTGCCAAGAAGCCAAAGAAGGGCAAAAAGGCAGCGTCAGTGACTGCCGAAGAAGCCGGCGCCGAAGACCTTGATGAGAATGACAATGAAGATGAGGATGCTGGCGGACTGAAAACGGCAGCTCAGAAGAAAAAGGAGAAGAAGGAGCGACAGAAGCGCGAGGCTGCGCTGGCCAAGCAGCGCGCAGCCCTCGAGCCCAAGCAGAAGCTTGCGTTAGCTCCAGCCCCAGCGCCGGAACCAGAGCCAGAACCTAAAGCTGCGCTTGAGAATGAAGCAAAGCCAGAAGCCGCCGATGCGGAAGATGCCGATGATGGCGGCAAGGCGGGCAAGAATAAGAAAAAGGGCAAGAAGGATAAGAAAGCTGAGGCCGACGAGGAGAAGGAGAAAAAGGATAGCAAAAAGAAGGGCATGTCCGCAGCGATGGTGGCCGCCATGCAGGAGCAGCTCAAGAAGCGCAAGGAGGAAGAGGAGCGTCAGCAAAAGCTGGAAGAGGAACGCATACGGCTGGAGGATGAGCGCGAAGAGGCGCGTCTGGAGGCGGTGCGCCTAGAAGCCGAGCGCAAAGAGAAGAAGAAACAAAAGGAGGCCGAACGCAAGGCGCGCCTTAAGGCCGAAGGCAAACTGTTAACCAAGAAGCAAAAGGAGGATCGCGCTCGTGCCCAGGCGCTGTTGGATTCACTAAAGGCGCAGGGCCTGGAAATACCCGATCCCAACGACAGGCGTGCGCCCAGGCCAGGTGAGTTGCTATACGTAGCTTTATGGAGCTGCTCTTAATTTGTATTAAATGGTTGACAGGCACGCGCATACGTCCCAACAAGAGGAAGGGGCCCAAGGGTGAGGCCACCGAGGAAGAGGCCAAGGATGAGGCACAAAAAGCGGCCGAAGCAGCCGCAGCTGCTGCAGCAGCCGAGCAAAAGGCCAAGGAAGAGGCGGTTAAGGAAAGTTGGGATGCGACTGACAGCGAAGCTGAAGCCGAGGAGGAATCCTCTCAAGCAACCACCACAACCTGCAACAATGGCAAAACTGAAGCCCACGATGAAGCTGAATCCGATGACGACGATGGCGATACCGACGATGACAGCGATGAGTCCGAGGAGGAGAGCGAAGAGTCCGAAAAGGAGGACGCAACATTGGCCAATGATCCCGAATCGCGTCGCCTGCGTGCCGAGGCGCGCATCATCAAACGCCAGTCGGAGGCGGAGAAGAAACGCACCACGGAAGAGCTGCGGGCCGGCGTCGTTTGTGTGCTCGGCCATGTGGACACGGGCAAAACGAAAATCTTGGACAAGCTGCGACGCACCCATGTGCAGGACTCGGAGGCGGGCGGCATTACGCAACAGATTGGCGCCACCAACGTGCCCATTGATGCCATCAAGGAGCAAACAAAATATGTCAAAAATGTCGCCAACTTTGAGCATCGCCTGCCCGGTTTGCTCATCATCGATACGCCCGGCCACGAATCGTTCAGTAATCTGCGCAATCGCGGCTCGTCTCTCTGTGATATTGCCATTCTGGTTGTGGACATTATGCACGGCCTGGAGCCGCAGACCCTGGAGTCCATACAGCTGCTCAAGAAGAAGAAATGCCCCTTTATTGTGGCCCTCAACAAAATCGATCGCCTCTACGACTGGCAGGTGCTTCCCCGCCGCGACGTACGCGACGTGATCAAGGAGCAGCAGACGAACACACAGCTGGAGTTCCAGCAGCGCACCAAGGAGGTGATTCTACAGTTTGCCGAGCAGGGTCTGAACGCAGCGCTCTTCTACGAGAACACAGATCCCAAGACCTACATCTCGCTGGTGCCCACCAGCGCCATCACGGGCGAGGGCATGGGCAACCTGTTGTTCATGATTACGGACTTTTGCCAAAATATGTTGACCAAGCGGCTCATGTACTCCGAGGAGCTGCAGGCCACCGTGCTGGAGGTGAAGGCCATACCCGGCCTGGGCACCACCATCGATGCCATACTCATCAATGGCAGACTGCGCGAGGGCCAGACCATGATCTTGGCCGGCACAGACGGGCCCATAACCACGCAGATTCGTTCGCTTCTGATGCCGCAGCCCATGAAGGAGCTGCGCGTCAAGAACGCCTATGTCGAGTACAAGGAGGTGAAGGCCGCGCAGGGCGTCAAGATCGCCGCCAAGGATCTGGAGAAGGCCATTGCAGGCATCAATCTGCTGATTGCGCACAAACCCGACGAGGTCGAGATATGCAAGTTAGTCTCTGAACTCTACAAATATTCCTTCTTTATTCTAATCCCATTTATTGTCAATTCCAGGGAGGAAGTTGCACGCGAACTGAAGAGCGCGCTTAGCCACATCAAATTGGCTCCGAGCGGCGTCTACGTCCAGGCCTCAACATTGGGCTCCTTGGAAGCTCTCCTCGAATTTCTACGCACTTCAAAGATTCCGGTAAGTGAGAAAATAAGTTCCGATTTAACTAGAATAAATATAAAACCCACTCAAGAGGATGAGAAACAGACGCAGTTCCTCATATTATCTAGTTGGAGTTCGACTTAGAAACTTTTATAGTTAACCAAACTTTTAGATAGTTAATTTTATGTAGAAAATTAATTTAAGGGTTATACGAAAAGTTAAAGAAGAAGAATTAGGAGCCTGTTTTAAATAGCACAATACAATGGAATTCTTGAAAACTACGTGCCACGGGCAAGGCCGGAGTATATACCCTCAAGTATATATAGACATAGGTCGAAATTTCCCAATCCCATAACTCGCTCAAATCTTATCAGATTGTCACGAGGTTTGGTTTTTTCTTCACGGTTTGGCCCGTAGATCAATTTGGCATCTAAATCTGGAAACATGATTTTTGGTTGAAATTCATGTGAAAATGGTAGCTCGAAATATCCTATATAGACAAAGT